CGCTGTTGCAGGGAATGTTGATGAAACAGTAACATTGGATTCCCTATATCCTCAATGTGGGCCTCAAGGTGAACATAGCACAATATTCAAGACTTGTAGACAGGAATCTGCCTGCATAGGGAAACTTGTATCACTGGGGTACCACAGCATGTACATGATTGTAGATCTGTTATGGCTCTGCAAAATGCATGTCAAGGTTACTAAGTACATGTACTGTTTTTGTTTTTTCTTTTTATACTGGGGGTGGCGGTAGTATTTAACTTTAAGACATGCATTTTTTAAACAAAAAAAAATGTTGCAATTGTTTGTCAATAGTAGATAAGACTTGACCCTTTCCACATAACGTACATATCTCTTGTACTTCCTTACAAAGTCATGTTCAAAAAAAGAATGTTCATCGATTTTTTGCCTTTCTGCACTCAGATTGTCATTCATGATCATGCATGCATTGTACAAGAAGACCAATAAATTTCTATGTGGTAGTTATCAATCAGCCAGAATATTCTAAGTGCACATCCCATGTGGATAAGAAACATGAGAAATGAATGCTTAATGTCCCACTCCCAGTACATGTATATGCATGTTGACATAAAATGATGATATATGCATGTTGACATAAAAGTCTTTTTGTATCCAGAACCATGCTTGACCCAGAACGATACTAATAATATACACGGTTCCGGATAGTCCACAATTTTACAATTTTCCAGACACTGCTGGTGTCTGGGGCAAATCTACATGTAAATGCTTACTAGTAGAGTTGGAAATTCTGAGACTATCCAGTACTTTGCCTGCCCCTAACCCATTCAGGCATACAACTAGATGGAACGGTTCTTGATACAAATACAATAGGCCTGCTCGATTTTGTGTAACAACTGACGGAACCTTTTTTGTTTATTTGGTGGTAATATGAGTACTGTGGAGCAGACCTTTAGGCGTATGTCACAATATTAACGTTATTGTCATGGAGCCAGACAGTCCTATTCACACAGACAAAGATCTCTCTCTATTCACTCACTGAGGGGCCATTGTGGGATATGTACTGAAGATAATTGGTGTCCTCATCATCAGTGCCTTTTTGAAATCCAGAGGACCTTTTTGTTGTAGACTTTGGAAGAGGATAATGATGTACATGATTAGATGCTGATAATACAAATCAAAACCTATTTCAAGTTATTGAGGAAATTTTTAAGTATGAGATTTTGCTACATTCTCTAATTGAAATTTCAAACAAAGTAGAAACATAGAAAGAGAAAAATATCAATAATGTTAATTACCATGGTAGGGATTCTTTTTTGTTCTCAAAAAGTCCTCTCCTACATTCTGTTTATATCTGCCGTAAAGTCTGTTACATATGCTATGTGTTTTGCATATGATATTTATGATGCTGTTTATGTTACAGTCATGAGGGGAATGCCAAGTGGCTTCATGCACACTACGACCCTTACTCAGCTCTCTACACCTTCTCCTCATGTATTGGTAAGTTATTTCAATGGTTTTGTTTGAATAATCAGGGCTTAGTCTTCAGCTTTAAATTTTTGTCCATTCCAGGCCAAAGCATGGCCAAAGTAAGCAAAATTTGAAAAGTTCTGACCCTCTGAAACATTTTTAAAAGCACATTTTTTGTAAACCTGGCAATTTCTAAACTTACACATGTATGTTTTCGCATCAATGTTCAAATTCTGGGGATGGACAGGCTGAATTTTTTTTATGTCCCAACAAGCAAATTTACATTCCAGATGGATAGGGGAGACAGCCCTGGTAATAATGAATAATTGCTTTAATTCATTGTAGCCATAGCCATACATTATGTATTTATTATTGCCACATGGTACCTCTTTGATGACACATTATGAGCTAGATTTTTTCGCTGCATGCAATAATATTGCAGCAAGGAGCTTCAATCCTTGATCAGTCCTTGTGATATAACGTCCTTGATTGCAGGAAGTTTCTTTTTCCTTGGCTAAGAAATAAAGTGGATAATTTGCTTTTCTAAGTGAAAGGATGTATGCTAATGTAATATTTGGGGACACTTGTTCAAGTAATGTTTTGGAATAACTCCCCATACTGCACATGCTGACTAGATTCTGACTTGCTCCTGAACATTGCCATTAGTCATAACTTGCCACCTCTGCTAACATTGATGATTGTTTTGTTTTTCCCCATACAGCTTTAGCAGACTTACATGGGGATGGGGACAACAAAGTATGTCACTCTATTTTTGTTTGTTCGCTTCAACTACAATTTGTTACCTTTCCTGATAGTCTGACTCAACATTACGATGCTTGTAAATAAAACTTGTTCTAAAACTTGTTCCTTTGCAGCTTATCATCGCAAACTTGGGGACTGGAAAGTATGACATGAAGCTAAAGGTTTACAAAGGTAGGCAGACTCTTGTCTATAGTTTTTCGTTACAAAGTTAATACATGTATTATAGATGACACCTGCATACTAGTACTCATTTATTTTGGCCAGTTTCTTGCAGTGAGAAAATGTTCCCCCTTCTTGAATTAACAATGTAATATTTATAGTGTTGTATTGTATTGAATAACTAACACCTTTCAGGAAAGAGATACATATAGAGGTATTCATGTAACGGTATATAGGCTTTAGGGTTCCTAAATTACATCACTTCTAACTTCTAAGGTTAACTCTAAAGGTAAAGGTTTACTAACATTGCTAGAAGGAAAATTTGATGATTTGGTACTACAGTATTTCAGTGTAAATAATTCCTTGAGTTGTCAAGCAAAGGGACTTTTCAATTTTTTTTCTTTAATAACTTGTTTTGAATGCTTATGTACATAGTAATTTTCTTCTCATCTCCATTCTTGACCTGTAAGGAACTGTGCTGATGACTGAGAACACCATCATCGACCTGCCCACAGCTGTCTGTACCTTCTTCATGGACACACACGACCCACGCACACCAGGTCAGTAGGGGCAGTAAGATTGGATTCTGTACACAAGTATATAAATTAAAAACAAAAGATCTGTATCTTCTTTGTGTTTGTATATGCAAAAACTGTACTTTCATTATATATTCAGGAGGAAAAAGTAGAATTACGAGAAAATAGACCATTTAGGTGATATACTGCAAAACATTATTATGCGTAGGTTACCTTTAGTTGTTGCAACACCTAGGAAAGCTGCCAAGAGGCCAAAAGCTGCCAAGAGGCCAAAAATTATTTCTTCAATAGGACAGGACCAAATACATGTACTAAATTTCATGACAATCCAAGCATTTTATTCTCGAGTTGTTTAACAATCACAAGCATACATTCCATTTTTTCATTTGTTTATTGGGAAATTTTTGCACATTTGTACATAATGAAATAGAAACATAAGAACTGTTCCCAATGTGAGATGAGGCATGAGATGTCTGTTATGTTCTCAGCTGTGGCTGTTGCCTCTGGCCCATACATCTACGTCTACAAGAACCTGCGGCCCTACTTCAAGTTCACCCTGCCGCCGTTAGATGTCAACCCAGTCGAGCAGGACCTCTGGAACCAGGCCAAAGAAGTAAGGATATAGTTCAGCTGGGAACACTGTATTAGAACGTGTTCTTTGTTTTTCTGTATTCTGGATGACATAAAACACAGCATGTACATGTAGTGCCATAGTGCACAATGTTTCTCAAATATAAAGATGGTATTTTTTCTTGCTGTAGGATAAGATTGATGTCCAAGTGTTGAAGGAAATGCTGGAGAGTCTCAGGTAGGCTGTCTGGTCTTACCTTAGTCTGTAAGCTATAGACAACATTGCAAAACAACCTGAGATAGACCACTCTCATGGTCTGTACACTCAGATTTCTTCAAACCTCTTTGCTGATTCTTGTTCTTCCTGAGATTCCTAAGTTCCTGTAGGTTCCTTTCTGACAGAAAAGGTCCTAGGAAAAAAGCATCTTACTCACATATGTACAATAAGTACATGTATTAAATATAATGTTTTGCCAATGTATATGAAGAGATATTGGTTATTTCATTGATGAATAAAATATGTTTACTAACGATATGAAATATTTTAAACACACAGGGCTGATGGAAGTGAGGGTACCCTGACTGTTAGGTCCTTAAGGTATGTCATACATTCTATTTTTAAGGCTTCTCCAGAAAAAAAGTAGTAAAATCGGAAGAGAACTAAGATTTAAAATACAATATTCAGGTCATTTGATTCCCATCTTTTTTTAAATTACTATCCCCTCATCTCTGTGTCATATGAGCAGTCAAATACATACATTAAGTATTAAACTACAAAAAGACTTAGAATTTTAAAATAGCTGATTTTTTTTCTTTGTTCAATACACTGTACCTACACTTGCTTTTAATGAATTTCTTTGTGACAAGGTAATTTCCCCTGTTTTATGTGCAAAACAAGAAACCAGAGATTTCAGACTTCTGGGAACTGTTTTGGCAAGGATATTTGTGCATATTGCCTGGATACTGCATACAGTGCATACACCTGTATTGAATACAGTGTATGTGCATAATTTTTTATGTATACATTGAATGATACATATTCTGTTCTTAGGTTCCTTATGTTAGACCCAGAAGACATGCCGACATTTGCCAACCTACACAAACACAGTCCTCTGAAGAGACAGGTGGGTCATCTTGGTGCAGCATGCTTAGTGATGCATACCGGTTCACTGGACTTGGATCCGGACTTGAAAGAATGTTTAGGTTCAAGTCCAAAAAAACCTAAAAGTCAAGAACCGAGTCCGGACTTATTACCATAAAAGACCATTTCACATACCCCTTTTCTTTCCAAACCACCTAAAACCTTCCGTAGATTGTAAAATCTTTGCTGCAAAACGAAGAAAACATTGCCATCGGGCATCGTCAAGTATCGGCCTCCATGTTATGTGGCCAAAGTTTTACCCAGACAACATTGCAAGGTTGCCAACATGCAATTTTGTATATGCCATGGGTTTAGGTCCGGACTTACAAGTCCGGACCTGAACCTAAACCTCTGGACTTGAATCCGGACCTGAACCTAAAATTGGGTTTAGGTATGCATCACTAAGCATGCTCATGTCATTATTTATCTTTCAATGTCAGATTCATGACTATGTACATTGTACTATATCAACATACATGTATCTAGCCAGTAGTCAGATTGTCTAATCCTGAATATTTCCAGTATTAAGGCACTGATACTGCAATGGGTGCCTATAAGTACATAAGGATATGTTATAGCACTAGCATCCTAACTCCTGGTATGTTGTCATCCCTGTCAGACTGTGATCACATGCATGACAACACTGAAAAAGAGCCACTCAGAAGAGGATGCCATCAGCTGTCTGGTCATTGGTACAGAGAGCAGAGATATCTACATTCTGGACCCAGAGGCCTTCACTGTTCTTACTAAGGTTAGAACCAGAGCTTTATTCACAGACCTTCTACAATAAAAAT